TTGCCTAATGAATTCCTCTTCGATGGACAATATATTGTATACGTATATATAAGATTTTTGCCCAACTATAATTGAGAGCTCACCTTGAAACACCACAATCAAAAATTTGAAAAACATTAAAATATCTGTCAATAGAATCTGTCCAACAGCCAGGAGTAAATTTAGAAGAAATATTCATGGGGTGTCAAACGTGGAGCACAAAACCTTTAGGGTTGGTACTCCATAGAAGAACTATATTTGTTGATCAGTGAAGATGCATGCACATCACAACTGGGCCTTCTCTACCTTACAAAAACAGACATACTGTACACCTCTCACCTCCACATACACATACATAAAAGAAGAGCTAAGAACATTAGAGGGGTGGCACATGCAAACTCCTGTTGTTTTAAACAAAACGAATTTAGATTCTTTGTGTTGTTGACCAATTAATAAAATCCTACAGTATTTATGCATCTATAACACATTTGATGTGAACTGTTTCAAAGATGAAAGTGGAGTAAAACCACCTTCAAAATCAACTGTTAAATGTAACCAAATGACTCTCCACTTTGCGGCTTCCTTGTTGAGTTCAGGGACTATCACAAAATGTCAACATTCCACGGTTACCAGTGAGAAATAATAAGGACCAAGTTCTCTTTATTCTTAGCTTTAATGGCACTGAGTGCAAAGCCTTTTCACTTTACTGTTGACTTTGGAGTCACACAGAGGTAGATGCATAGAGAGCCTGCGGGTGGACTCCCACTCGTTCACACACACACAAACGCACACACACGCACACACACAGAGCTTTCTACATCTAAAGATGTCAGTGGGAGAGTTCGCTTCCAAATGTCAAATACGTGAGGAACATTGGAACCAACTGTAACCAGCTGAAGTTCTACAATTTAGACATTGTGCTTGAAAAGATGAAAGCTTGAAAGTTCAACAATAAAAGAGGACAAAAATATAGAAAAACAGGCAATAAAAGACATAAGTAAGAAATATTAGCCAACAGGACCTCCAATATAAGAAGAAAAGAACATAGCAAACCCCTTATTTATCATGGACAATTATAAAGAGCAAACACTCTAATTGTGGCCACTAACCACCCAAAAAAAAGCTCATTATGGCTGCCGCAATAAGTCGGCACAATCACCGTAGTCAATTATGATAATACATCAGCGAAGTGTTTTCCTTAGTAGTATACTAGGGAGGCACCCCACCCCCCTAACAACATCACCTGTCCCTCTCATGAAGGTTATGGAATGAAGTAAATTAATAAAAGTCTGTATGTGTTTGCAAAATACCAATTCACTGCACCCAAGGAATATGAAAAAGCCAATAATCAATACCCTTTTACCCTCACCCTCTACCTCCCCAGGACATTTGTATCAATTTTACATAACAAAAAATGTGTATCAAACAAAGTAAAGGTAAATGTATTTGGTATTTCGATATTTTGATAAAATTTGTGCTCTGCATTTGATCCATCACATGTGAGAATCACCCAAGGGAAGCAGCAGGCAGTTATGTAGGCACCTAGAGAGCAGTTGGGGGTTGGATGTCTTGATCAAGGACACCATGACATGTGAGCTTGGCGGGGAGTCGAATCTGTGACTTTCTGGTCCCAAGTCAGCTGCTCAACCACAACACCACAGCTGCCCCTACCTTCCATAATGCATATGGAGTGCAGGAGTGCCTTTGTGTCTATGTCTATGGCTACGTTCACACTGCAGGCAAATCCGACCCAAATCCGATTTTTTTGATCCATCTGACTCATATCCGATTTTTTTATGACAGTCTGAACGCGACAAATCCGATTTTTTCAAATCCGACCCAGGCCGTTTCAGTATGTGGTTTTAAATCGGATATATATCTGATGTTTTCAAAGTGACTGCAGTGTGAACGCTCATGTCACATTCATCTGACTTTTTCATCAGGAGGAGGGGCTGAAGGATCGATAAGACACTAACCTCAAGTCTCGCTGTTTAAATCTGCAGCTCCGTGTGTTTACAGCTCCAAAACACAAGTCCAGTTGCTTCATCTTTTTACTTTTCATTTTCCACGTAGATAGTTTGATAATAACATGTCCAGCCTGGGTCGCGGAGAGTATCGATCCTAAAGTTCGATACTTTGTCGATACTTTTTTCCAGCTCATAGTTTCGTTAAAAAAAAAAAGCTTCACTGGAGCATCGCGGTCAGAGGCAGCTTCAGATATAAGCACTGAACTAAAGAAGCATGTCAGATAATTATTTAATCGGCTCTGATTAAACAACAACTTCTGATGCGATGTGTAAAATGTAGCATCCATGCTAGCTCTGTAAACAAACAAGCCGGCTGATGAGACGTCACGTCTTTTACTGCTCATGCATGTCACATCAGTGCTGTGGAGCATTCACACAGGGGTCTGATGCAGGTCACATTTAAAATGTAATGTGAACGTTCACACAAAAAGATCGGATTTTTTCAAAAAATCGGAACTGAGCATTAAGACCTGCAGTGTGAACGTAGCCTATGTCTGTTTTATGTAACTTTTGGTAATCTGCACTGATTGCAGTTTTCTGGCTGATCACCAATCACAAACTAAAAAGTCTGACCTGCCAATTCCAATTTTTTAAATAACTGATACTGTTATGTGTTATAAGGTCACAATACATCTTTAATGTTCCAATCTTATTTTATTGAAAAACACTGAACAATACCCTTGAAACTAGTGCTGGGCGGTATACCGTTTTGTACTGAAAACTGTTTTTTTATTTTTGTTATTTGAATTTTCTGAATACCGGACATGCCAGTTTAAATAGCCTGAACATGTTTGGAATGTTTTGTCGCGGCTGCCAGAGAACTATTTCCTGCCCACTTTTCCTCACAGCACTGCTATGCATTAGCATGCTAATGTTATTGTTGGAGCAGCTTGTTGGAGTAAATGGTGGCGGGTGGTGTTTCAGCTGCTTATATTGACTGACGTTAAAAAAACATCCTGTTTTCACCATCGCTGAATGTGGTAAACAACTCTTCAGTGACGTGCACGGTTAGATTTAACGTGCAACGTTATAATGGAGAAGCTAATGCATGGAGACTTTAACGTGCTTCTATTGTGAAAAGCCCAGGGGAAGTAGTTTGTAGTAGAGCTGAGTTGACTGGTGTGCAAGGTGAGTCGTCCTTTTAAGTTTTATTAACACACAACGATAGACCTCATAATGAGCTTTTCTCAACCCTTCATGATTGAACCAAAATGCATGATTACTGTCTACAAGCAGGCAAAGAAAAAAAGACGTACAAGAGGAGGGAAACAGCGACACAGAAAAAGGTACAGTAAAAGAAAAAAGTCAATAACCAACATTTGTACATTTTACTATCAGCTGAGCTGTGATGAAAAAAATACAGTCAAATACCGTGAAACCAGTGCAATTGTTGAAAATACTGATATAAAATTTAGGTCATACTGCCCAGCTCTACTTGAAACAATACAAATGGACATTAGGTAGTGCTCACAGCAGAGCAAAATGGGACAGACCTTTGTAGAGGTAGAAGAGAAGCCAATCTTTTCTACCGATCTTACCCAAGTATCAGACAATCTCCCATAATTAAGGAAATCTGTAATCTATACATCTCCTGTAAACTGCACTTCCTGCCAGTTTGATTAGTGTTTTTTTTTTCACCTTTTCTGACTCCAGTCAGTCTCTCCTACATACAATATTGGGAGTGTGGGCAGGTCTAACACCTGAACTGTTCTCTCTGTAGTGATCCATATTGTCTGTCCAGATGCTAGTTCTGGGAGAGGTTTAGATCACCATCAGTGGATTTAATGTGTTACCTGCTTTTGCTTATCTCATTCTCTTTGCAAAAAGCCTTCAGATTGGGCCATTTAGGACCAAGGTTGACCATGGGTCGGAGTAGGGAGGTCATTAATAGCTGACCAATGGGTTGAATATGAGGAACCAATTACTGAACACATTAAGAAGTGCCTCCCATACCTACAATCCTTGTGAGAATAGAACAGCATCCTAGGAATAGTAGTCAAAAACTACAGACATTTAGGTATAGTGTTTTTAAAATGGAATTATTACTCAGTTAAAGTCTCAATGTGTTAAAAAGCTTGATGCTGCAGCTGAACTTTAAAAAAATAAACTGCTGTCAACAAAACAGACTGAATCTTTGCCATCATCGTCATCATTCATCAGCTAATCAAACACACAGTTCTTTGTTTACATAATGTTTGAAAATGACAAATAAAAAAATTATTTAGGCCTTTTTACACAATTCTTTGTGGAAAAGGTTTATGCAAATGTTAAAAATAAAATTTTAACATACACGTCAATTGTATGGATTGTCTGTAAATGACACGGATTTTCCTCCATTTTGCAGGTGAGCTGACATCCAGATTTTTTTTTTTTTTCAAAAACTCAGCTTCAAATTTATTTTTTGTCTCAGAGCTTGTAGGACATAAAAACACAACATATAAAGTAAATAATCATCTCTAAACCAAGTCTGCTGCTAAAAATATGTTCCCCACCTCTCCCAATCCTCCTTTACTTGCTCCTCTGTGCTGCAGGTGCTGTTACACCCCACCCCTCTTGTTACAGATTATTGAGAGTCAAAATACTTTAAAATTGCATTTTTGGTGTTATGAAATTTCAACCTGTACTTGAAGATAGATAGATAGATAGATAGATAGATAGATAGATAGATAGATAGATAGATAGATAGATAGATAGATAGATAGATAGATAGATAGATA